GTGCTCGAAATCGCTCTGCATCCTACCGAAATCGCGCAAAGCTCTTCTCCAAAATCGCGTATATTTTCACACAATAATAGCCATGATAACGCAGCCTCTTTGCCTGCACAATATACCACCGACGACCTTTCTCTTAAGAGCTTAGCGCAGAACTGGTACGAGGCGGAGGCAGAGACCCACAGGCAACGAGAGCGCACCAAGGCCGAGAGCGAGCATCAGCTGTGTCGACGTCAGCGGCTCGCAGCTAAACGCGACGCCGCCAAACTGCGTGACAATCACTTGTATGATAAACTGGAGCAGGAACAAAGCAAGAAATGCGTGGTTGGCCCCGACGCCCGTAAACACATTGCACTCGTCGCGAAGCTTGCGCGCGTTGATTTCGTTGAAGATTTGGAGAAACACAAACGTGGCAAAGACCATCGTGTAGTGCTTTGTTGGCATCGGTGCGTCACGACCGGACGGCACGTCCAGAAGCTCGTCGCCATAGAAGACAAGCAGCAGAAGTAAGCACACTTGAAAGAGGCTTTGACCGACAATGTGCTTGGCCATCGTTTTCGAGATGAGCGGCTTGGTGCGCGGGTATGGCTTGCGCTCGAGCAGCGCGTCGGTCGGCTTCTCTGTTGCAAGTGCAAGCGATGCAAACAGGTCCATGATGAGGTTGAACCACAGCATTTGAATCGCCGTCAGCGGCGTCTTCGCCAGAAAGAGAGAGCCGAAGACTGTGAGCGCCACCGCCGTCAAAATCACGGTAAGCTGGAACTGGAGAAACTTGGAGATCGAGTCGTACACGTTGCGACCCCACTTGACTGCGTTGACAATCGACTTGAAGTTGTCGTCCATCAAGATGATATCGGACGCGTCCTTGGCGACCGCCGTGCCGCAAATGCCCATCGCAAAACCGACGTCCGCCTTCTTGAGCGCCGGCGCGTCGTTGGTGCCGTCGCCCGTCACCGCCACGACCTGCGGACCGTGCGGGTACACGTTGGACGCAATCAGACCCGACACGAGCGTGTACTTGTCCTTCGGGCTCGACCGCGCGAGCACGCGGAGCATGGGCCAGATCTTGTCAAACTCGCTCTGGATGATGTTGCCGTTCGAGTCCAAGACGCGGCGACGGAACTCGGTGCCTTCCATGACCAGCGACCCGTCGTTGGGCGAGAGGATGCCGCACTTGAGCGCGATCGACTTGGCCGTCGCAATGTTGTCGCCGGTCACCATGCGCACGACGATGCCGGCGTCGTTGCACTGGCGGATCGCGCCCGGCACTTCGTCGCGGACCGGGTCTTCGATGCCGACAATGGCCACGCACGTGAGGTCGCGCTCGATCTCGTCGTCCGACCAGCTCTTGATGTCGTCCATCGACGCGTCAATGTCACGGTACGCCAGGCAGAGCGTCCGGTACGCCTGGCCAGCGTACTTTTCAATCACGTTGCTCAGAATGTGGCTCTTCATGTGACTCTCCATCGGGATCGTCGAGCCGTCGAGGCGCTGCTGCGACGTGCAAAGCTCCAGCACAATCTCACTCGCGCCCTTGGTAAACACACGGCACGTCGTCGCCGAGACGCGGACAACCACCGACATGCGCTTCTTGGCCGAGCTGAACGTAATCATGTGGCCAATCTCACCGCCCTTGCGCACGTCGGCGTAGGCGACACCCATGTCGGCGGCAAACTGGAGGAGCGCGCACTCGGTCTTGTTGCCCGTGTGCTCGGGCTTGCCGCCTTCTTTGAGCGGCGGGAGGATCTCGGCCGTCGAGTTGAGGCAGATGCCGTCGCAGAGGGCCGCCATGGCGACCGGCGACAAGGCAACGCCGAGGTCGGCCGAGGACGAGAATTCGGTGCCGCCGACGTAGCTTTCGACGACCGTCATGCGGTTGGTTGTGAGCGTCCCCGTCTTGTCCGAGCAGATCGTAGTCGCCGACCCCATGGTCTCGCACGCGTCGAGGTGGCGCACGAGGTTGTTGTCCAAGAGCATCTTCTTGATCGAGTAGGAGAGGGCGATTGTGACAGCAAGCGGGAGACCTTCGGGAATGCCCACCACAAGGACCGTGACGCCGAGGATGAAGAACGTCAGGTATTCTTGAAGGTGTTTCTGGGACCACTCGGGCTCGTCGACGGCGAACGTTGTGATCGAGTAGCGCGTTGCTAGCGCTATAAAGACAAGCAGCGCTACGACCACGCTCACCTTGCCGAGGAGCAACATGACGGCGTCGAGCTTGCCGTGCAGTGGCGACGCTGGCTCTGAGACTGTCTTTGAAGTTACCACGCCGTCCGCGGCGCGCGGAGTCTCGATCGCGCGGTAGCCGTCCGAGTTGGTTTCTTTTTCTGTCGAGGACGATGGTGTCGCGAGCGCCTTGCCGGCCACGAGCGAAGCGATCATACCGGCCTGTGTCGACGCGCCGACGCAGAGCACGAGCATGCTCCCGACGCCTTCCATGACCTGCGTGCCCGCGAGGACGATCTGCTTGGTCACGTATGTCGACTCGCCCGTCATTGTGCTCTCGTCGAGCTTGAGGTCATGGCTGGCGAAGACGAGGCCGTCGGCGGGTACGATGTCGCCGACCTCCAGGCGCACGACGTCGCCGACAACGAGCTGGAACTTGCGCACGAGAGTGGGGCCGCCATCCCGAAGTACCTTGATGCGCTCGTCTTGCTTGACGCGGTTGAGCGCGCGGAACTGCGCGTCTTTCGCGTGCTCCTGGTACGCAGTAACGAGGACGATGCTAAATACGGCGAGAAGGATCCACGCGCCTTGGATCCAGTCGTTGGCCGCGCCTTGGGCGCCGCCCAGCAAAAGCGACACGACGCCCGCGCCACACAGAATGCGCAGCGTCACGTCCTACGCGTCACCATTGTCATAGGCGTCATTGGCATATGAGCGAACCTCGAACGTCATGCGCATGCGGGCGAGAAGCGTCAGCGGCAAGTCCACGACCAAATCGTTGGTGCCAAACGTAGCTGTCCGCTGGGCCAGGTCGTTCGTGTGGGCCGACTTCAGGCCGACGTCGAGGCGGACGTCGAGCGCGGCCGCGAGGCCATCGACGCCGCCGAGAGCAGTAATCGCGTCGGCCACACGCGCGTCGTCGGTCTCGACGAGGCGGACGAGGTCACCAGCCAAGAGTCGCAATCAAATGAAGCATCGTCGTATATTTTCACACAATAATCAGCCAAGAGGCGCATCGACACCACTGCAACTACTAGTATCATCCCACATGTATCCATCGAGCATCTCGGTATCCGGAGAGCTTTGCTGTGTCTGCGAGGTCGACTCTACTGGCAGCTGGCACCTCGCATGACGCCATGGCCAAGGTGGTGGCAGGTCGTCCAACGCGAGACGAAACTGGTGGCATGCGAGGGTACCATGCTCGCTATTACGAGGAGGTATAAGGGAATAAACACTTGGTGTTAGCCCTAACCCTTGGCCAAGGACAAGAAGAGACGACTAAAGAGGTAGAAATGCAGAGGGACGAATTAATTAATCGACCAAGGACGCTTACGGCTGGTCGTGGCTCACTTCGCGCAGCTTGCGGCTCAGCACGTGCACAAACGCATAATTCTACAAAAAACATGAGCATTTACCGGGGATCGAAGCGCGTACCTCGAAATCCGTGCCCAAGAGCGTCAAGATCGACTTGGCCTGCGCGCCGTTCTCGTACTGGAGCGCATGCAGCGTCAGAAGCGCGACCATGTGCTCGACGAGGAACACCATCGTCTCCTTGTGAAACGCCGCGTCGCACGTTGCTTTCCCATCGACAAAGAGCGCAGCCTTCCACGCCTCCAGCAGCCGCTTCCACACGTTCCACTCGTCGTTGGCAAACAGCGTCGTCGTCTTCTCGGCGCCTTGGAGGCGGAGGCGGCAGAACGCCATGGTGTGGCACAGCGTCAAGCGCGACGCATACAACGCACTCTGCGCAAAGAGGCTCCACTTGCCATCGACGAGAATCTCGCTGCGCTCTTGCTCCGAGAGCGTGCGCGGCGCCAGCGTCGTCCACCACCCGCCATGGAGCACGTGGAGCCCAAAGAACGGAAGCAGCGCCAAGAGACGCTGCGTGAGCTTGTGCACCTTGGCCGCGCCGAGCCCCGACTCGAGCAGCGACGGGAACGCCGCAAGCGTCTTGAGCAAAAAGGTCATGAGCGAGAGCTCCGTCACGTGGTTGAGCGAGATCGTCGCCTCGAGCAGCTTGACGCTCGAAGCGACGCGCTTCCAGTGAAAGCCCACCGACTGCACGAGGAGCTCCATGAGCTCCGTGTGCTGCGGCAACGACGCCGCGAGCGCCGCCAAGAGACGCAGCACGGGCAGCCACTGGTCGTAAAAGGCTTGGTCCGCCGCCAAGTAGGCATCGAGCGGGCCGTTGTGGGGCTTGACGGGCCGCGACGGGAGGTCCACCGTCATGAGTGCACGCAAGGCGCCGCCTTGCAGCAATGCCAGCGCTCCGTCCTTCGTGCCGGCCATTTGCGTCCAGAGCGAGAGCACGGACGGCAGCACGAGCGTCGACGCTTGCACGTCATTCTTGAAGAGACCGCAGAGGTGCGGCACTTGGTGCTGGAGCAACGGCAAGACGCTCGCCGACGGCAAGCTTTCGAGAATGTTCATCGCAAGACCCATCGTGAGCGGCACCGTGACGTCGGTCGCGTCACGGCACACGAGCGCCACAAACTGCGCGTCGACGGTGACCGCGGTCGCACTCGGCGTCGATGACGTCAAGACGTCCAAGTGCCCACCCGAGGTGCTCGATGCATGCGCCTCAAGGTACCGCAGCACGTGAAGGTAGCTCGTATACAGGCTCGAGCGCGCGCGGCGGCCCGCGGCCGGGTTGCCACTGGTCGTCGTCGTGCACTGGATCGCCTTGGTGCAGCGCTCGAGGAGAAGTCGGCGCTGGGGCGCCGACAGCGGCGCCTTGTCTGCCATCGCGCTGCGCAGCTGGAAGCTCATCGCGACCGTCACCTTTGCCGCCAATTCGACCAAGTGCGCGACAAGGCCCGGGGTCTGCAGCGTCGAAAACACCGCATCGAGCGTCCGGTGCAGCGCGGCCACCGGCGCCGCGTACTGCAAGACGGCGACTTCGACGAGCTTGCGCCACGCGCCAAGCGCTTGCGCTTCGGCACCAATGCGCTCCGAGTACCGGTTCCAGCTCAGCGCCCACTGCAGCACGTTTGCGACGTTGCTCGCCTTGTCGCGCGTCTCCACCGGCGTCCACGCAAGCGTCTCGCTGCGTTCGAGGAGCGCTGAAAAGGCCGGAATGTCGATGAGCAGCTGCCCGTTCTTCTCGAGCGTGCACTGCTCAGCGAGACCCAGGCTGTGGGCGTCCGACGGGCGACTCGGCGGCGCCAGCGAAAATGGCGTCGCGTTCAAAAGACTGAGCAGCGGCGCCGACGGCGTCCAGAGCCATGAAGCGACTTCCGTGCACTTGGCATGGAAGAGCCATAGAGCAAGGCTCTCGAGGAGCCAGCGGCGGCACTGCACGAGCGCCAATTGGTCCCGATGTGCACCGACGCGGCTCGCGACGAGGTGCGGCAGCATGTCCTGGGCCTGGCGGAAGAGGAAGCAGTTGAGCGTCGGGCGACCGAGGCGCTGGAGCGTCAGCGGCAGCGTCGTCGCCGACGACAAGAGCACGTGCAAAAGACGGTAGCACTTTTCAGCGAGCGTCGGCGCCGCCAAAATCAAGCTCGCATTGTCGAGGAAGAGCAAAATCGCATCGAGGGCATTCGCGCCTTGGGCTGCCGCCATGAGCGCCGGCGTCGGCCACCCAAGGAGGAACGTCGCGAGGTTCGGCATCGGCTTTTGCACGTTGGCCAAGAGCAAATCGAGGAGCGGCGTCTTGAGCGACGACGTGGGGTCCATCAGCGACGCGACGACACCGTCGATCATTGCACCGTCGACGCCGGCGTCGACAAAGATCTCGACGAGGCGCGACGGCGACGGAATGTTGCCGCTGAGCAGCGAAAGAAGCTGCACCGCTAGCGTCGCGATCGGTGCGTGCGGGTACCGGAGGTACTTGCACACCTTGACAATGTGCACCGGCGACCGCGAGAGAAGGCTGGCGAGCGGCTCGGCGGCGCGGTCCTGAAGGCGGCTCTCGCGCAAAAGCGACAGGAAGCGCTCTTCTTTATGCATAGCCAGCGAGAGCATGTCGAGAATGAGCACGACGCAGTCCTGGCGCTTCGAGAGGGCGTTCCACGGGCGCACGTGGTCTTCGGGCTGCACAAGCTGGAGGCAGAGGTCGCTCGTGTAGGCCGTGTGCTGGGCTTCGTACGCGCTCTCGAGCTCGTCGACCGACGGAAGCAGGCCGAGCAGCATCCGCAACACGTTGCTGTCTGTGAGCAGCTTGGAGAGCAGGTGGAAGCCGCTGGCCTTGGGCTTGAGCACCTGCGTCGAGCCGTTGGTCATGTTCAAGACGACGTACTCGTCGACGAAATCGCCCGGTGCCGGCTCGTAGCGCTGGAGCACGTCGTGGAAGAGGCCGAGAACGTTCTCGAGGAGCGTCCACTTGTCAAGCGCGTTGTCGAATTCGCGCGTCGTCATTTTGAGAAAAACGTGCTCAATCACAAAGTCAAAGTACGGGCGGTTGCCGCTCACACGGTAGCTCGACCCGCATTCGTCCGGAAACTCAAACTCAAAGAGCGGTCGGAGCAGCGCCACAAAGCCGTTCGTCGCCGGGTACGTGCGCTGCATCGACTCGATCTGCTCGAGCTCAAACTGAATGCCCGTGTTGGCGACGCTCGACGTCGTCGTGAGGATCTGCGCGGCCTCGAGGTGCTGCCACAGCAGCTGCGCGAGTGGCGCCGAGATCACAAAGCGCGACAGTGTCTGCATGACCGCGCCCTTGAGCGACGACGGGATCGAGCAGCGCAAGAAGCTCAGAAAGAGCAAAAGCACATTGCTGTCGGGCCAGTCGAGGAAGAAATGGACGATCGCGCGGTTCCCGAGCACCGACTGGAAGATCTGCAGCATCGCATCGAGCGCTTCGACCTCGGCCACTTGGAAGCGGTGGCCCACCGTCGACGACGACGACGTCGTGGTCGGCGCCGACCCCGGCAACGTCGGTTCATGCGACAGCACGCGCCGGTAATTGTCAATGGCCGCAAAAAAGTGCTTCCACGTCACTGGCGGCGGGCTCTCCTTGATGTGCTTGTACGCGAGCTCCGGGCACCCCGGGGCACACGACGAGAGGAGCTTCATGTACGCGAGGCGCGACGCGTTCGTCGCCTGCGACAAGGTCGCCGACGCCGTCAGAAACGACTGGTGCGCGCTCCAGAACGTGCTCGCAAACGTCGGGTGGAGCTGGCTGAGCGCAATGCCGAGCTCGAGCAGCTGCGTGAGCGTATCGGGGGCCGAGAGCGCCGCGTTGAGAATCGGGAGCGTCGTCGTCGGCGTCGATGTCGGCAGCAACGAACCGTTCTTGTGCATCGGGAAGAGGAGGCTCACGTAGGCCGAGAAGAAGTCTTCGAACGCGCCTTCGTACATGGCGAGGAGCGTCGACCCTTCGGGGGCAAATGGAAAGAGCAGCTGCACGAGCAGCGTGAGCCCGTTGTGCTTGAGCCCAGCGTCGTGCAAGAGCGTAACATCGCTCTCGCTGACAAACGTGAGCTTGGCCATGTGCTGCGCAAACCCGACAGCGCCGAGGAGGAAGAGCACACCGTGAAACTTGCACGTCGAGGGCGCCTTGAGCAGCTGGAGGATCTCGGTGGCGACGCCGACATCTGACGTCCACGCGAGCGACGGACTCACGGCCTCGCCCGACGACCGGTGCACACGGAGGGATGACGTCTGCAGCGTCGACGCGAGCGCTGCGTGCGCGTAGCTGAGCGAGTGCAATTGACAAGCGACCTCCTTGACGTCGTACGGACTCTCCTCGGTCGAGAGACCGAGCGCGCCTTGGAGCGCGGTCGTGACGCTTCCGCTCGTCGCCTGCACGCGCGATCCAATGGCTTGGCAGAGCGACACGAGCGCCTTGAGCTCGGACGGCAGCAGGAGCGTGCTGGACGCAATGAGAAAAATGCATTCGGCGATCGTCTTTTGCCACACCATGGCCATTGCGTGCATTGTCTTGTTCTTGAGAAGCGTCGGGATGGTGTCGGTGAGCGCGCGACAGAGGTGGCCGAGCAGGTCCTGCTGCAAGAGGCGGTTCGTGTCTAGAAGAAGAAGATGAGGACCATGCGTGCAGCATCGATCGACGTACAGTCGAGGATCGCATCCTTCTTTTGCGCCGAAATCGTCGGCTCGAGACGGGCGCGGAGGAGCTCAAAGAGCGCTGTCAATACGGCGTTGGTCTCGGTCAAGAGAAACTCGCGCGCGGCGCGGGGCACGTTGTCGCGCAAAAGCGACGGCGGAAGGCGGTTGCGGTGCGTCACGAGTGCGCGGTTGTCCGGCTCGCTCGCGAGGATCCAGTACTTCAAGCACGACACCTCCGAGAGATGCAACTCGTCCGCCATCTCGATGATTTGCTGCTGGATGGCCGGGATGACCGGCACGGTCGACGGCGACGCGCTGGCCTCCGATCGCACAGAGATCGAGCCCTTCTGGAGTAGCGTCCGGTCGGCCGGGACAGGCACGTTGCCCGAGATGAACTGGAGCGGTGCGACGAGAAGGTCCTTGGCGTCGTCGAAGGTCGCGGCAAAGTCCGCGGACCAGTCGACCTGCGGCAGGAGGAGGAGGCTGACCTCCTTCTGGAGCTCATGCCCACGGAGGCTGCCCACGTCGACGAGGAGGAGCGCGGACCCGTCGGCCGCCGGTCCAACAACACCTGCCATTAGCCTTGCGAACCGAATTTGAATTGTTTGCCACAAAATATCGGGCAAAACCACGACTTATGACCAATCAGAACTACCAACGACTTCTTTTTTAACCAATCGGATCGCGAGTGCGAACCGGGCCAATCGACGCCATTGTTTTTCCGGCGCTTAGATTCGGCATCGCGCCACGCCCGGCCCGAGCCCAGGACCGCGTGACGCTGCGCACGCCCTTGATTGCTCGGTACTCGATGCTATTTCAACTGCAGCCTTGTGTCCCAGTTCTCTTGAGGTCAGCTATAGACGTGTCTTTATTTCCGGGACGCCTCTTTGTGCAGCGGCTGGCCACGCCGTAGATGTGGCACATGCCGAATGTACTATCGTATCCGGATACCACCGCATTGACCACAGCAGCTGCCACTTGGATCGCGGCCGCCAGCATGGGCGTCCAGTACCGAACCAAGACGCTACTGCATGTGACGCTGAGCGGGCCGACCGGCGCCGTCCCGCGCATCGTACCCATGTCGATCTACATCTTCCCAGGAGAAGCGCTCACCTGGTTCAACGAGCCGGGGCGTGACCCGACGTACCTGAGCCAAATCGTCGATGGCCTCGGCCAAGGACCCGAGTGGGCACATCTGCAGACGCAGATCGAGCGTGTAAGCCAGCCTGACAAGAAGGACAAGGCGCTACCGTCGCGCGAGGTTGTCCTCGGGGCCATCAAGTTTACATACGTTGTCAAGCCGATCGGTCGCTCGTACACGGTTATGCGCCCAAGCGACGACGGCCGCGCGCTGCCCATCCCGTTGAGCGCCATCGAGGTCGTCGTGCACACGTTTCCCAAGCACATGTCGGCGAATGCGACGCAGCCATCGATCACGGACTTTCTCGAGCAACCAGCAGCGTAGCGAGCGTCCGCCAACCACGTCACTTCGCCACACGAGCCCATTAAAGCCATATAGGCGACGCCGTATGGGCAGCTGTAAACTATATTCTCTTCCTCCATCCTCTCGAGCGGCGCCGTCCACTTCTCCGCGGCGCGTGCTCGTCTTCTATGCCGTCGCCGGCGGGCGCGAGGCCAGGAGGAGGCAGTTTTCGAGGCTCTCAGTTTGTTCGCAGTAGTGCACAAGCTCGGCGTGCATGCCGTGCGCGCGCAGGTAGAGTACCCGGCCCATGTCGATGACGCGCTTGCTCTTACGGCCAAGCGCCGTGCGCTTCTCCCGGCTACGTCGCAAGCGTGCTTGAGCCGCGTACGTGATGCGTCACGTACCTCCAGCCAAGAACCGTCTCGACAGCGTCGCCTTCGGTGCCCATACCGCACGTCGCCCAGCCCGAGAGCGAGACAAGCACCTTGAAGTCCGCAGCCGAGAAGCCCTAACCCTCGATGATAAGCCAGAGTCGGCAATAGCGAATCGTTGATACGAGCTCTTTGAGGTACGTCGGGTTGACATAGTCGTCCCAGCTGCACGCGTGGTGGCAGCAGAGCGCTAGCATCGAGAGATCAGGTTGTATCTCATGCACGCTCGTCGTACCAATCGCTAGACCGTGCAGGTCCGGGCTCATCGCGTTGGCTTGCACCGGTGGCAGTGTCGTCGCGAGGGCTCGCAGCGAGAGGTCGGTCGCGACACCGCAGAGGTGCTTGGAGAGACACACGAGCGGCGTCTCGGTCGCTTCCTTCATGCCCGCAAGGTTCAGATGCCGAATGTCGATCTTGGCGCGCGTGCACTTGCTCTCGGTTGCAATGTACTGGTCGGCCTTGCCCCGCGTGCCGGCGCGATCGATGAGAATGAACGGCGACGCTGGGTACAGCTGTGTGAGCGCGAGCGAGAGCATCGCGCGCCCCGCGCCGAGCTCCATGTACGTGAACGACGGGTGCAAGAGGCTCTTGCGCTCCATGTGGCCGATGATCGACGCCTGCTGCTGGATATGGCGCAGCGCTCCGTGCGACGCGCCGGTCGCCTCCTTCTCCAAAAGCAGCTTGGTACACCCGTCGTGCTTGAGCGTCTCGGTCGGGATCGAGCCGATGGCCTTGGCGTACGCAGCCTCAATCTTGGCAGCAAAGGCGTTGTAGTCCATCTTGGCCTACGGGAAACGTGGGTTGGTGGTAGCGGTATTGACATAGATGCGTACCAGGATTTGGAGGATGGATGCTTGGCGCGCCGCCGACGGCGCTTGGTGGCTGTTGTCCTCCGTCTCATTCTCGGGCTCGTCGACGCTGGGCTCGGTGCTCTCTTGCGGCGTGGCGGCGTGCGCCCCCGAGTTGATGTTGCGTGAGAAGTACGGCAGCGCCTGCATGGCCTCGGCTTCCTTGAGCTTGTTGCAAACCTACGACGATATCAATATGCAGGACGCTCATTTAGGCGTATATCGATGTACCACCAAGTGCTTCTTGAGGTCGTAGAGGTACACGGTGTGCGATGGGTCGAGCGTGCAAGGGACGCGCTGCCGCATCTCGGCCTTGAACTTCTTCGACTTGTTGCTGACAAAGCCTTCGTCACGCTCAATGTGGTTGCCACAGTAGAGCGAGCCCGCGACGCTATGAAGATCCGATATCGTGAGGCACAAACGAGCCCAAGACGGCGTCGCACCGAGCCACGTTGCAGTAGCGGGCCTTGCGCTCGAGCTTGAACATGCACTGTGTCCACTCGCCGTCGGCAGCCGCCTGGAACTTGTCGCGCTTGCGCTTCGAGCGCTTGTTCACGCCTGGGTTCTTGACATCGCGCTTGGCGCTGGCGTCGGGTGTGGCGGCCGCAGCGGTCGGCAGGGTCTCCATCTCCAATTGTTGATTGACCAATGGCCACGAAGGCTAAAAACACACGACAATTGGCGTGTAAACGAAATGCATCTGGAAGGTCTGGCATGCACTTGGCAGGACAGTGTCGACGTAGATATATCCTACATACAAATAAATATGTAGGGTAGATACGATCCTACGCCTCAAGTCGACGTAGTCCTGCCCCGGTGGTAGCCTGCACAAGGTGCAGGCTAAGGTGGCGTTGTTTTAGATAGCCTTGACAGCGTTTCATCATCATCAAAAATGCAAAGCGGCGTCCATGGGCCACGAGCCTCTGCACGAGCCTGGCAAGACTGCGCAACGTAATGCTACGGGGTAATCATGAGAGGCCCGTAGGTCTCCGCTGCACTTGACGCAGTCCTTCTCGGACATCGCACGGCAAGAGTTGATTTGGGTGTCGGGAGGGATCTACCGTTCGCTTCCAAGCTCCAAACTTGACCGCGATTGCTAGCCAACTAAGATCTGTTTGTACCGTGGGTGGGACGCTGCACTGGCAAGGCCGCGGGCTCGAGCCGGGTGAGGCGCAGCTGGTTTGGGTCCATTGCAGACTGAGCGCGGGCAACCAGTTCGGCTCAACTGGGTGCGGTCGTGTCGACGGCGTCGAGGCTGGCGCTACCGTCGTTGGATACAATGCGGTCTGCGCGCGGTGTCCAAGACCTCGCACCCGTGATTTGTAGCCTCGAGAGCCATCGGGTGCCGCTGAAACAAGCTAAAAAGTTGGCGCTCAGCGCAAAACGTGGCGCCACC